TAGCTCAACCAACACATAAGTCTTGGACATTCAAGGTCCCAGGCCCCTGACAGGAGACTCAGTGCTTACCTACTCCCGATGTCCATCTGAGTAACAAGACCCCTACTGGCATAAAAACACAGTCTACCAAGCAAACCAGAGGTCGGGAGGCACAAGGAGACAGATGGCGGCACTCAAGCACGGCCAACACACAGCTGACACACACTGACACAGACCTTCTGAAGGGCAAATGGGCAAAATATCTCAAGAATTTTAAGTAATTGGCCATTCCATTTCTCCAAATTTATGCCAAGTGGTTTATTAAGAATGTAGGGCAGAAACTTGATTACAAGAATGTTCCTTTCAGTATTATTCATAACCTTAAAACTCTGGGACCAACATAAATATCCAACAAAAGGGTAGCGATCAATTTAATCAAGAATCACATTCATAAGGAAGCATTATGCTGACTCACTATTAAGTGCTGTAGAATGCTAAAAAACTGGAAAATGTCCAAAATATGATATAAAGGCAATTTATAAAGCAGTTTGTATAGTATGATATACAGTGTTTTAAGTTTCTATTTGCATAAAAATGTGACTAGCAAATTAAATGTTGAATGTGGTTATCTTCAAGTATAGGATTACAGGTGATTTTACTTTGATTTATTTATACCTAACATTCCCTGCAATAAACTTGTATTATTTGTATTTATAGCCTAACAAAGGATGCTAACACTTTAACATAATTATTATATTTAAAAAATAAATAATTACATATCAAAATTAATTCGCTATCAGTCAACAAACATCAGTAATTATATCTGAATGTTGAGGCTGGGGAAAATAGTTGGGGTGAAAATACAGCAAGGGCTGCTGACAAATCCACCTGCTTCAAAGTATGGCCCACTACAGTCAGTGTGGGATATCCATCACTATGGCAAACATCCAATATGTGCTTGCTGCATGAATAACCCTGTTTACATTCAGTCAAGCATTGCAAAGAAGCATTATGTTCAAACTTAAAAAGAAAAAAAGCCTGCCTCATTATCAAATATGTAGAAATGCTCAAGTTCAAGTAAAACAAAAAGATACCTATATGCGAGTAAAGAGATCATGAACATTCATATGAATTCGTTTGCACTGCACTTCACTATCCACAGCTCTACTTTAGAGTTATGATTCTCATCCCACCCTCCAAAAAGAAAAAGAAATAAAGAGAGAAGAGATGCTCGTACTGTACAGTGGTCTTATCTGGGGCAGCAAGACAGACCAGATGCCAGACTTTCCTCTGCCTTCTGTTCTGTATCAGCGAGCAATACTTCACTACACTTGACAAGTCTCTAAAGCAAACAAACAACTGACTACTGTACAGGACTTGTTTCTAGGAATCGTCTGTCTTAAAGATTTATTTTCTTTTTAATTATGTATATAATTATATAGGGGGAGGTGTGCACATGCACGCAAGTGACCAGAGTCCAGAAGAGGGAGTTGGATCCCACAGAGCTGAAATCACAGGTTGTGAGTTACCAGATAACGGTGCTGGGAATCAAATTTTGGTCCTCCGCAAAAGCAGGGAGTGGTCTTAACTGCCAAGTCATCTCTCCAGGAACTGTTAGGGACTAACTTTTTAAATTTTAATTACCTTAGCTGTTTCGGTATTTAGAAGCCAACGATTCCGTCCTGAAGGGAGGTAATGGGAAAACCCACCCGGTGTGAATCCAGACTGCCTTTGCAGTCTGTGTGGCTCTCCAAACTGTGAAAGGATTGTGCTGCGAGAGCTCAAAGGAGTCGGACACAGGACTGGACGCAGAACAATACCCAATTTCCATTCTTCACATTCCTTGAGGACTATTTTTCTTTTTTAAATTGAGAACAAGTAACTATGGAACATGGGTCATTTGGATAGCTGTGCAGATATGAAGTTGATCTCTCAACTGTACAGCAGGTATCAGGCTATAAAGGGAAACAGATAAGGAAGCCAAATGCAGAGCTCCCCAGTCTAGGTTTACCCTGCAGTATAAAGGAGACCTCTGAGTTCCGACCTAAGTTGGAAGAATAAGCAGAAACAACTGGAAAAGCAATTGACAAAGCCTCCCTTGATAGCATCCTTCCTCTGTCCTTATCCCCTCATCCTCACTGCTATAACAAGCACCTTTCCTGGAAACAGGAAACCCTGTGAATCAGTGATCTGTACCAAAATTTAATTTGCCCTACCAAATTCAAAAAAGCACCCAAGGGGTACAACTCTCATTTGTTTCAGTGTTTTCTCTGGATGTGCACATTTCATCAGGTAAAGAAACCTCCCAGATTTTATCTCAGAACCACTTAAGGACATATTCAAAAGGTCTGAGGATCAAACAAAGCCACCTATCCATAGCACATCCTGCTCACAAAAGTGTCCCAGAAACTCAATATAAACAAGATCCCTCTGTTCATTTCTAGGAGATAATACTGCTTCTGTATCCTACAGTCTGCCTTATATACCCACAACAACTGCGTCTTCTTCCTCTACTCAAACAGAGCATCTGTTGCTAACAAAACACTGCCCTCTAAGTCGTTTCCACAGACAAGAAAAGCAGCTGGTGAAGCCGACCCATGTGCTGACCAGCCAGCAGCAAGCTCCTACGAGATGCCCAGTTACGTCTCTAGTGTAAGACTGCCTGGGTCACAGCTCTCGTCCTCTTGCCGTCAGTATTTAATAACCGTTTCTTGGCACCACCTACTGAAATAATTTTTTAAAAGATACACAAGTAGAAAATACACCTTAAAAATTAAAAAAGTCTAGACTGAATTTGCAAAGGAAAATGTTATTTTGAGGCTAAGTTTAGAGATTAACAAACGCTAACAGATAATACTGTTAGGAGGTTTTCTTGAAACAGACACAAGGCTCATAACTCTTAGAGAGTCAGTGGTTATTTCTATTTTATAGATGAAGAGATGAAGACTAATGGCAAATTATCCAAGTTCTTACGGCTTGTAGACCAGAGAACCGGCTCTTCTTAATAACTCACAACCTACATCCCAAGGCCTTCCTTGCCAATTACAGCATGCAACTCCCTCCTCTACAGACTGAGGTACCCTCTCTTCTACCATTTTAATTTGAACATTCTTTACCAGGAAATAGCATCTAAATCTCATGCTATAGGGACACCACTGTCTTATGTAATAGACAGGAACATTCAGCTTGTTCATTCCTATTGGAGGCAAGTAACTTATTCTACAGCAATTCATTGAATTAGGAAGCTCAGGCTGACAGCAGGAGTTACAAGCATTAACGCTGGATATCCACTGTGAGCTATAAAACAAGTTCTCTTCGTTAGAAACATTACTTGATACCTCCAGTCAAATTCAACATACTTCCAATACTGAAAGTTGATTTCCAGAGTTATTTCAATAAGATACATTAGCGCTATTTTTAAAAAATAGCTAATTTTACCTCTGGAGAAACTACCCTGTGGGTGCACAAATACGCTGTCTAAAATGAGAACACCTTGGCTCCAACCTTAGGCGCTTACTGGCACAACCTTTAGCTCTTGATTCCTCGGTGTCTCCTGACAGACGATCTGAGTCAAAACACTTTTAGTATTTTACCATGCATGGACTATTTTAGTACAAAATATTCATAAGCTTTAAAATACTGTTTTGTAATGGAATATTTGATCCAGTTTTTCTAATATTATACAATTTCCTCAGATTGACGAAACAGACTTATTGGTGGCCTGCTCTGTAGACATAGCTAGCAAATGCACTGTACCCTGCACCTCACCTTTCTGGATTCCCAAGTTACCTGCTCTTCCAGTTGACCTTTGCTAATGTCCATTCAAATGCCACATGCCTTTCCTCTAATAAGCCTTGCGATGTCTTACAAGCTTCGGCGGAGAATGTCTTAAAGTTATACATATTCAAAATATACAAAACTTGTCATATATTTTAAGTATCTCTAAAAAGATATCAGAGTAATAATTCTGGAGATAATAATTGGATATATATCCAAATGGGTTTCAAGGCAGGCACACACAATGGAATCACGGACACGTCTGCTAAATACTGCAATAGTAAATGCTTGATGCATCATGTTATTCACGCCCCACATCGCCAGCAATTCCTCAAGACGGCGAATCCAGTTCAAAACGGCACAGTTGTGCTATAAGCCTTTTCTGCACTTTCTATTCAAATAAAAAAGAATGGCTTCTTAGATGTGCCCTTGTTTTCCCTGCTGCATTATTAATAACACTTTTTTCCCTTCCCTATACCGGAGTATATTTCAATTACACTATAACCTAACAAAGAGAGTAGGGTGGTTGACTTTTCTATACAGGGATTATGATTTGAACGTTAAAAATTCAATTGCAATCATATTCAATACACTGGCTATATTCTTCAAGTATTTTACTTAATCAATAAGGCTACTCTGTAGATCTTTTCTTAACTTGTTCTCAAAGTGTTAAACATTCCACAAGACCACTAGGTAACTGTGACCAGCTACACCAACTGGCGGACGAGGGTGGGGCAGCTGACAACTGTCTTTTTCCTCAATCAGGCAAACACTGAGATCTGCTTATAAATAAGCCACGAGCAAGGCAGTGGGCAGCGTTACAAAGGAGATTCGGTCCCCGGACCTATAGAGCAGGGACCATGCCCAAGAGAAGCAAAAGGACACCAGCTCTGGAGCCGGCGAGGAGGCCCCCACGCGAGGCAGAGCCAGGACACGCCTGCCGAGGAGGGACCCACCCTGCGAGCACGCTGCGGGCTGCGGGAAGAAAAGGGCCTAGCGTCCGCAGAGAGCGGTGGGGACCCCGGTGCGGCTCATGGGTGCCTCCCCGCAGACCCCGCCCGGAGCCAAGTGCTGGACAGAGGTCGGCCTGGGTCATGGGCAAGGCCCCTGCAACCCGCGGGCTCCCGGGTCAGGTTGAGTCGGCTCGGGTGGGTCCCAGGTCCCAGGCCCGACCTCGCCCTCCGCCGCCGAGCCCCGCGCGCCCCGCCCACCCACCCGGCCGGGCGCCCTGGCCTCCCGCTTACTTTCTGCGAGTCCATGGCGAGGGACTAAGCCCTCCGGGCCGATCCTGTCACCGGAACCGAGTGAGGAACCTGAGGAGCCTTTGAGACCCGCTACCTTCGTCCGCCGCCTGCCCGGTCCCGTCCCGCAGAGGTCCCGCCCGTCCGCGCCCAACCCGCGCGCGCCGCTGCCGAGCCGCGGTTGCCAGGGTGAAAGGGCGGCTCGCGGCAGGGCGGGGTGCGAGCGCGTCACGCATGCGCATGCGCGCGCTGGGCCACCCGCACCCTTGGAGGATAAAGCGCTGCCTGTCCGCCTGCGCCTTCCTTCTACAGCTGCCTCCCTCCTGGCATCCCTTTTCCTGTGCCATCGCTGCTGTCCTTGCAATGAACCATTGGGCACCTAGCAGCCAAGCCTGTGCGGAGGGCCCGGGAGCTAGCTCTGCCCAGGATGCATCCCGCACCTACAGCATCTCTCCACCTGCCCTTAGAGGGGCAGTCCGGATTGGTCAGGCCCAGATATCCTGCAGAAGGAAGTACGCTGGAATGAGAGGCAGCGGAAATGTGGGGAAAGTTCTTGAGCGGGAATGATGGAAACCTGAAAGAGATCCAGGACAAGGAGTAGGAGGAAGTTACAGAACGTGAGCATGGAACTATATGGACTTTATGGCCTGGCCGCCCTTGCTCCTCCTGAGCAAGACTTTCTCCGTGATCCTGTATCATCGATAAAATAAAAAGAAGAAGGATGTGGTGGTGGTGGTGGTGGTGGTGGTGGTGGTGGTGGTGGTGGTGGTGGTGGTGGTGGTGGTGGAGGAGGAGGAGGAGGAAGAAAAGAAAAGAAAAAAGGAAGGAAGGAAAGAAGGAAGGAATGTGGGCCTTGCCAAGGACTGTGCAGATTAAATACTGTGTCAGAACAGCCCAAGACACAGCGCCTAAATAAATGACAGTGAGACAACAAATTACAATCTTGTCAGGACGGCCAGAGCAGGCAATGAAGATTCTAGAAAGCTTGGGATGAAGACAGGAGGCTTGAAAAGGTTCTCCAGAGAGACAGGCTTCATATCCATTTAGGTGACTCGAGAAAAAACATTTCATCCGGGCATCCACATACCAAAGGAATAAAGGAGAAACGATTATCGAGTATTAAGTAGCAGTTCTACAGTGGTTCTCAAAGAACTTACGCTCCAGTCTGGGAAATGACAAGAAACCATGAAGCTGTTAAAAAAGAACAGAATCAGGGAGGGGGCATGGATCGGTGGATAAAGCTCTTGAGTGGCAAGAGCGAGGATCAGAGTTTATGTACCCAGAAACTGGTACCCATATAAAAGCCAAGCGACCACAAACACACTGACTCACAGGTCCCCCTCTTCATGTGCCCCCACATTGGAATACACTGACGTACAGCACACACACGTGGGAAACCATTTCACAAAGGAAATTTCATGAGGCAAATGGAAGAAATAAAGTCAACAAATAAATTGCATGGAGTTAACGGGCTCAGAATAAGTAGGGTTCAGTTTCCTGCCATTTCTCAGCAGTGACCTGGGTGAGAGTTACGAAATGGTCTGAGGAGGCATATCTAGTCAGAAGAACAGTAAGAACCAAGGCCTTGAAGAGGCGTGAGCGTTTTTGAGGAATCATACTTACGTTGCGATGTTTTAATTATGTCTCTACCAGAGTCTTTCCAACTATATTGTGACTTCTTAAGACCAAATGTCTTTTTACTGTACCTGTATCGGAAAGGGCAGGGGACAGCCCAAAGACCCCTTCTGCATGGAACAGAAAGAAATGTAAGGAAAGGCATAAAAGACACAAAGGAAAAAATGGTTTTATTCTGGCCAGGTAGACAATGACTGGAAGCCTGGGACTGAGGAGAGCATACGGACAACTTCATCCTGCCAGCTGAAAGGAGGAGTGGCATCGGTCTTTCTGAGAAGCCCCCTCTTGGTATTAAGGGAAGCTACTATTCACACTGCCCCGCCATTACTTGGAGAGCAGTGACAGAAGCCAGGCATCCACCCATCAACCCAGTGCTGGTAGCTCCAGGGGCCGCTCTGAACACTAGAGCTGAGTCATTTTCTATGGGCGAGAAATGAAGCCTGCAGACAGGAGGACATCAGAGGTCAAACCACTGCCCTTGATTGACACCGTGGACCCAGGATGAAGGGAAGGAAAGAGCGCTTGGTCTCATCTCCAAAGCTTCACCTCACTCCTGCCACAGGGGAGCCCCTCGGCACTTTTTGAATGACGGTACTACCAAAGGAGAGATAGAGAGGGTTCTGGAGACAGTCGCCCTGAAATGTGATCTCCCAGACTGTCACAGAACCACACCTTAGGAGCTCATTTCTGGCTTCTTGCCCCAGTTTCTGTAGCTCTTTCCCTTCAGGCCAGCCAAGCAGCCTGTGGATTTTGACAACAGCTGTACCCCATTTGACCCCATGCTCTGATGAGCAGTGCGTCAGTATACCTACCCTATTTGACTTCTGCCCTCAGCAGACCTCTGGTACCGCTTGTCTGGCTCCTCAGCACAGCTCATCCGGGACCATTTGCTGACCTCATTCTCAGTGGTCAGCTCCTTAGGGCTGTGATTTGTGGCCCTCCAGTCTACATAGATGTTGCAATACTTTTCCCTCGCATGCTAGGGTCGTGAGGCTACAAGCTCACCCACTTGCTGTGACTTGGTACCCCAGGCTTTTCGTGTGATTATCTTTGCATAGCAAATCCGGTGAGGTTTTAAGTAAGGTAGGCTTCATTTTAAAGCAGTTGTCCTTAAAACTTGACCCCAGGACTAACTGCATTGGTATTATCTGATAACTTCTTAGACATGCGCATTCACAGTCCTTATCCTCAGAAACTCCGGGGTCAGGTCCCGTAAGCCGTTTTAGCAAGTCCTCCAGATGGCACTAATGCATACTGGCATCTGTGAACCACTGATGGGAGAGGAAGTCTATTGCTCTTTAAAGGTGGGGAGGGATAGGGGAAACTGCAGCGCTGGCTCAGCACTTAGGAGCACTAGTTGTTCTCCCAAAGGACCTCGGTCCAGTTCCCAGCACCCATATGGCAGCTCACACCTGTCTGGAATGTCAGTTCTAGGTGATCGGATGCCCACGGGCACCAGGCACTGAGGTGCACATGTATACAGTAGGCAAAACACTTACACATATATGATAAAAATAAAAAGTTTGAAAAGTAAAAAGGCTGGTAAGATTTAGTTGTGAAAAATGCTTGCCACCAATGCATGAGGCAGGTGCTGGGAGTGGTGGCGTGTCTGTAATCCCAACCCTTGGGGAGCAGAGATAAGAGGGTACCAGGGACTCGCTGCCCACTCAGCCTAGCCTTATCAGCAAGCTCCAGAGTTAGGACCTGAGCCTGTCTCAAATTTTAACTGGAGAGCAATGGAGCAGGATGCCTGATATTAACCTTTGGCGTCCACAGGCAGGTGCACACAAACACACATGTACCTGTTGTACCTGTACATACATGTTGCACACAAACATGGTACACACACAGAGGAAAAACAGAGGAGTAATAATATATATTGTTTCCAAACCGGAATTCATGGCTCTGAAAAGACGCCCATCTCGTCCTGGTTATTTGATTGACGTTTCTGGCCTTTGCTGACCTACTTGCTTTCTGATGAAACTCCAAGGCAGGATCGCCTCATGTTTGACATGGCTAACGTCCAGCAAAACTGTCCCACTCCAAACTAGGTTCTTTGTCCTCTGAAAGATGCTAGGCCCTCCGTGCAGGCCTGAACTTCCTCATGAGTTCTGGGGGTTGGCGAGGATTTCTTGATCTCCATGTCTCTGACAACCTTCCCCTTCGAGGCTCAGTCTAGCTGTGTCCACAGGGACCATCAGCTACTTACATTTGAATCCTGACCTGCTACCTCCCAGCTCTCTAGTCATCATCAAACCCTTGTCTTCACTGAGGTTCCTTTTCCTAGTGCATAGCATAGTGACCATGTTTCCTTTAGGGGTTTAGTGGGGATTAAAGGAGACTATGGATGGAAAACGTTTGGCTGAGTGGGTCTGTAACTGGTGGTCGCTGCTATTATTGCTGCTCTACACAGCATGGCCTTCAGGGCTCTTCATGCACAGTTATTTCTCCACTCATGTCGTGGAGCCTTAGAACCCGTTCCCACTCCAACTCCCCTGTCTTTTCGGATACCCACCACTAACCAGGGGCTGCTCTTCCTTGAAGGCCCGAATGTTCGCCCATCGCTCCCCGGCAACCTAAGGTTTCACTTTTACAACCCAGCCCGGTGAGACAAGCCTCTCTAAGCTTCCATTGCTTCACCTGTGAAACAGGCCTCACAGCTTCAGCGCCGGGCAATGGGTGGATTACATGGAATAATCCCGGTTAAGGGATTAGCTGTGTCTGACGTGTGATAAACAGCCAAAAAGCCTTTGTGTTTACCATCACTTCTCAGCCATAGAGACCCAATTTTGTGCTTCCTGCCCCCTTCTAACTAAAACACAGATTCACCCCAAAAGCCCTGGCAGCCCTAGGCACTTATGAAATGACAGCAGCTCCTACAAAAGGGAGGTTGATTCTGTATGTCCTGGAGGAGGGTACTCAGGGGAGTGACCTAGCTCACACTTAAGAGAGCTTTAAGCCATGTAGAAAGCAGCAGGCACCAACCAGAATGGTGAAGAACCAGAAATAATGTGAGAAGTAAAGGATGTATCAGCATGGATACAATCATCGACTTTGTCTCCTCGGGGCTGGTCCACGGCAGATGTCTTCTTCAGTATAGACTCCGACTCAGCTGCTGGAAACTATAGGAAGACAGGATTCCTCTCAACAAAATGTGTAAAGCTGGGGTGCTCAACCTTACTAATGCTGCAACCGTTTGATCACAGTTACTCAGGTTGTGCTGATCCCAAGGCTCAGGGAACATTGCGGGGGGGGGGGGGGGGGACACGCGAAAGCTGGAGAGTGCTGTCTTCCGCTGTCTTCTGCTACTCTCAAGAACTCACAGCAGGTAGTCACCTGCACAGACCAAGCCAGGCAATGACTGCAGCATGGACTGGAAAGGAACTCACGAGGCTCTGCTCCAGCTCAGGAGCTTCTGGGAGCTGGTTATTGGGAGAGAAGGAGCCATGCTTCTTCAGGAGAGTGGCCTCTGGTAGGTGGTCATGTACATGCAGACATTAATAATTGGACTTAGTGTTTTTTTTTAAAAAGTGTGTGTGTGCGCACACACACGCATACACACAAAAGTGGGAGAGAGTTCCTAGGAAGAATGGGAAGGGAATTGGAAGAATGGGAAGGGAATTGGGGGGTGGTAGATAATCAATATATATTATATACGTATAAA